CCCTGTCTCGGAGGATGGTGGTCGCGCTGCCTTTTCGCGAAGGCACGCAGCAAGACGAGCAGGCACTCCCGACTACGATATTAGCGCCAGCATGAGCGGTGCTTCCACTCCTGGCGTCGAATGGGCCAGCGGCACTAGCGACACCGGTAGCTACGATCCGGCCGCCGATAGCGATCTGGACCATATCGATGTGATTCCAGGAGAAACGGACGGCATGCCATCCCGGCCACGTCGCCGCAAGACGCAGCAGCAGAAGCGCGAGGACGAGCAGGAAGAGCAGCCAAAAGGATGGGCTCGACTCCGAGCTATCCTGCGCAAGCCTGCCGAGGACGAAGAGGGTGATGAGAAGGGCTTGCCCACTACCACGGCGGACGTCGGGAACGACGAGGCTAGCGGCCCCACGAATAGAAAGAGCGTTCCCGTCACTACCTCCACCGGCACGCATTCAGGACCCCGCCACAGGCCCACACGCTTTGAACGTGAAGCAGCCCGTCTGGTCAAGGCACACCGCTTGATGACTGGTCAGAGCGTAGAAAGCGACGGTATGCCGGGAGGAGCGGCCGCGGCAGGTCTTGGCCGTATGCCCACCATGAGTCGCAAACACCTTGACTCTGAGGCGAGCACACCAGATGCGCTTGACACGGCCGCGAATTTGGACGCGAGACCGGTTGCTGCGGGAGGTGTCCTCGGCAATTTGCTGCGGCTCTACGAGCAGCAACAACGCGAAGCCGCGCGAAAACAAAAGGAGCTTGCGGAATCTCGGGCAACTTCGCCTCTATCTACCCCTCCCGTCAGCGGGGTCCGGGGTGGCGCAGGCGCTCCTGCGAACCTGTCTGACCTGGTCGCTGCCGAGCTAGCTCGCGAGACTGCCGCTACTGCGTCTAGCATCGGGCCGGTGCCCGCGGATGCTAGATCCAAAGCGCGACGTCGAAGCTATTGGTCTGCGGAAAACACTGGCGGTGCCAACAGTCCGGGCCCTGCTGCCTTGGCCGGCGCATTCGTTGCAGAAGGTACCGCCAAGATTGCTGGCGCGACAAAGAAGGTAGCTCAGGTCGCAGCGCGAGAATCGGGAATCGATGATGCTGTCGACGACAGGCCCAAGGCTGCGCGATCCAACGCTGGTACGATTGGAGGCCTGGTTGCTGTCACCGGTAACCTGATCGGTGCAGTCAGTCCTTGGCACGCGCAACTCGGTCCCAATCCCAAGCGTCCCGGCTATACTCTGGATAGATACCTGCTTCCAGAGATGAATGAAAAGACGCTGCGCAAGACTGCAGAGATTGTAGCTGATGCTGCGCCTCGTCCTCGACGATCCGCACCGGGCACCCCTCATCTACCCGGCATAGGCACCAGCGTTAGCTCTTCGCCTCATCCCAACGATAGCAGCGAGACGGCTGCTGCGTCGCCGCAGGATGGGGCAGCTAGCCCTCACAAGACTGCCAGCAGACCTGCAAGTGTTCTCCTTGGTCCTGCGCGGAGAAACACGGACGCTACGGTCGGTGGCAACGCTCATCGCAAAGGCAGCTCTCTGAGTCAATTCAGCTCGCACCTCTACGGGAAGCATGGCTGGCGAAGCAACGTCAACACTCCAGATGTGTACACAGCAGACTCTGGAGGAGATTACTTTGGCCACGCTGATCCAGAGATGGATGACAAA